GGCTCCTGGCTGGTCTCAGCCCATCCTAGCACCCCAACCCTTTTGCCATTTCAAAGACCCAGGCTTAAGCCAAGTGACACTAGCAATTCCCCAATAGCGGGCATTAGCTCAGAGGGGACCCGAGGACTCAGGGAGCCGAATGGGGACCATCATTTCATCTCCAAGCAGGCAGGCCTGCTGTCCAGAGGAGATGGTGCTGGGTTAATGCATGGCAGAGGCCTACTTGGTGATTCTTATTTCCATTTTTCTAGCAAGAAGGACGGTCTTCAAATTGGAAAGGGAAGAGGACCATGTCACAAGGAAGTGTGGTCCAGGACATCTCTGGCTGCTTTCAATGTCTGCCATTCTGACTGCCGGGGGGACGCACGAGGGGCAGGAACACCACAGCTGGTTAAGGAGGGTAAGTTGAACACACAGAGGCCGGTGCCAGATCTTGACCTCAATTTCTAGCAAATCCCCAGCCTAGAACAGCCTCTCAAAAATGCTTGCAAGTGTTAAGAAAATAATAATAATGACAAGGAGAGCGCCAGCAATTCTGATATTATGCCTACTCTGTGCAGATACTGGGCTAAGCCCTTTGTATGTATTAACTCACTCAAATCCCAAAATAACCCTATGGAATGGGGCCTCTGATCAGTTCCATTTGATGGATGAGTAAATAGAGGCCTAAAGAGGTTAGGGAGACTATGCAATACATCAGGAAGGCAACGTGGGGTCAGGGTGTTGAGCCATCATGTTACATATTTATCAGAGTCCTGCTCCCCTGGCATTGTAGACTTTCAGGGTCAGGGCAGTGGTGTGCCCCCATCCCTCAAAAATCTTCCTTCCTTCCTACTTCCCTCCCTCCCTCCTTCTTCCTTTTCTTTCTTTCTTTCTTTCTTTTTTTTTTTTTTTTTTGTGGCACAGTCTCACTCTGTCACCCAGGCTAGAATGCAGTGATGTAATCTCAGCTCACTGCAATCTCTGCCTCCTGGGTTCAAGCGATTCTCCTGCGTCAGGCTCCCGACTAGCTGGGATTACAGGTGCATGCCACTACACCGGGCTAATTTTTGTATTTTTTGTAGAGATGGGGATCTCACCATGTTGCCCAGGCTGGTCTCGAACTCCTGAGCTCCAGCGATCCTCCCACCTCAGCCTCCCAAAGTTTTAAGATTACAGGTATGAGCCACCACACCTGGGCCATTGTCTCCTCTTTTCTGCTGTGATATCTAGGTCAACAAAGTAGGGAACTATCAGGGACTAACCTAATCCATAAATACCATTATTAAGTAACGTTCATACTTGATCCAGACTTCCTTAGTTTTTACCTAATGTCCTCTTCTTGGTTCTAGGGTCCCATTCAGGACACCACACTGCATTTGGTCATTTGCCTCCTTAGTCTCCATTTGGCTGTGACAGTGCCTCAGAATTTCCTTGTTTTGGATGACCTTGACAAATCTGACAGGTGCTAATCAGGTATTTTGTAGAATGCCTCTCGGTTGGGATTTGTCTGGTGTTTTTCTCAGGGCTAGACTGGGATTCCTGGTTTGGGAGGAAGACCACAGAGGAAAAGGTCTATTCTCACCACATCACACTAAGGGTATATGCCATCATCATGACCTGTCACTATCAATGTTGGCCTTGATCACCTTCTGAGACAGTGTGTGTTGGGTTTCTCCACTATACAGTTGTTCTTCCCCTCCCCTTTCCAAACTCTACCCTTTATAAGGAAGCCACTACACACCTCATGCTTACAGGGTGTGAAGTTATGCTTTACTTCCTCAGTGGGGCAATTATTAGCATATGTTATTTGGATTTCTTCTATACGAGAGATTTTCCTATTTATTTATTATTCATTTGTTCAATAATTTATACTATATATACTTCATTATGGCCTCATGGATATTTATTTCATACTTTATGACCTAGTATATTTTGGTTTCTGCAAAGCATTTGATCCTGGTATCCCTCGTATTCTGGGGGTAGGTGGTAAACTGTGGACAATCAGCTGTAAGTTCACTGAACTCCATATCTAATGAATGAGCATTATCCACCCCAGAGCACCAAGTGGCTGGGAAATCAATGCCACTGCCTGATTTTAAAGCAAATGAAATAGAAACACTTAGAGTACACTGCATTTTGTAAGGGAGGCCCCCTCCACCGCTGGAAAACAACGCTCCGATTTTGTAATGCATCAGGGGATATGATGGGTAGTGAGTAGAGATGCAAAGTATATTTCCACGGGTCTCGGTCAATACAGTGTGAGCAGAAAACCACCCCTACAAGTGCCTCGGGGCCCTGTCCATGGTCCTGCCCCGCATGTTTAACCAGCCTTGTGGATTCAGACACACCAAGCACTGCTTCTCCACAGCTGAGACTGACAGAGGTAGGATGGTAGATTCTCTTTCTTGACACATACAATGTGAGGAAATGAACAAGACGAAATTAAATGGGAATAAGGGCCAAGAAACAGGCTTATATTCCAGAAATTATTGACACAGATAACAGGCCCGAATGCTTCCACAAGCCAGGATTGTTAAAAGAAAAAAGAAAAAAAAAAAAGGAATTGTGTTACAGTAAGAGAGACTAAAAGGTGACAACAACCACGTACACTGCACAGTCCTAGAGAGGAAACAGCAAAAATGGACATTTTGGGGTCAAATAGGGAAATCTGAAAAAGGTCTGCATATTAAACGAGATGAAAATTTATTGAAGCAGAAAAGTGATGATCATTTACCGGCAAAAAAATCAGGTTACAAAACAGTATGCACAGTATGATCTCATTTTCTGGAGAAAATTGGCATATAAGCATGGAAACAGCTGGAAAGGTCTGACAGAAGTGTCATCGAGGCGCTGCGGGAGAGATAGGACACAATACGTTTTATTTTGCTTGTCCCTATTTCCAGTTTTCTGCAGTGCATATCCACCGCTTCTGTAGTAATATCAGAGTATGTTTTTAAAAGAAAGAAATCACTGACGCTCCCCCAAGGGTGGAGAATCCCTGGCTTGGCAGAGGTTTCTAAAACAGATCCCTGGAGGTTTTGGTGGCCAGAAACTTAATATGAGTGGACAGTGCAGAGGCAGCCCCACCCTGAGCTGCGTGCATGTGTAAGGTCTTGGGGCTGGTACAGTCTTGGGTGGGCGGGGGGGGCGGTCTGCTGGTCCAGCCCTTTCATGTTATTGCTAGGAAAACTGAATCACAGAATTAGGCGATGGCAGCTCCAGGGCCAGAAGCCAGATGTCTGGCTACCGGGTCACATGGAAATGGCCTAGGGCTTCAGGAACTGGGGTATTTGGCCTGGAGAAGGGAAAATGGGAGTAAGGAGCTAGGAAGGAGAGAAGGGGCATGAGTGCTATTTTCAAATATTTAAAGGCCCCGGCAAAGAAGAGAGACCCACGTGAGTCCCTGTGCAGAATGGTGATGACTAAGTGACGAGCAGGTCTGTCTCTAGAGTGTATGAGGGAGAAGGTTCTAATGGCAGGAACTGTCCAGCCGGGGGAGAAGTGGGTGAGGCTTGCTGGGCACGTGGCCGAGGTTGGTGGCCCCTGCCAGAGGTTGCTGGGAGACCCTTCCCACCACTGAGGCTCTGTGGTTCGGGGACTCCAGGTTTCAGCCAGAGCTGGTGGCTTCTTTACCCGCCCTGCAGCCTGTGTCCTGAGAGGAAGGAGCGGGACTCTACCTACACCAGGAGGCGGCTCAGCCTGCCCCAGATGGGAACCACCGGGAAAAGGGAAGGGTGTGGCTGGCCTTTAGGGAAGAAAGGTCATGGTGGCAGCAGGCAGTGCCCCTCAGCAGAGCCCCGCAGAGGGCAGTCTGGGCTCTCACAGGCACTGCAGTGGTGTTTCCTGGGGTGGGTACCTGAGTTCTCAAGCCCTGAAGCTGCCTCGCTCTCTTCTGCCCACCGCTCTGAGCAACTCACAGGTCCCGGCCCATGCCCAGGTGCCAGTGAGAGATAATTCTCCATCGTCTCTCACTGTCTGGTGACACGGAGGCACGGGTCCAACCTGGCCATCATCCAGCTTCCCCCATGTCCTGAAATGCCTGGTCTGACCTGTCCCGGGAACACAATGCCAGCCAGTGCCCATTTGAGGCCCATGGCCCCAGGCCCCCCATGCAGGGCCTGAGGCCTTAGATGGTCTTGGAAACCCACTTCTCAGGGCTTTTGTCTCCAGGGGAAATCCCTGACCATTTCAGCCAGGTGGGTGTTCTGTCTTCCCCTAAAGACAAAGTCCCCAGTCCCCACGCCGGTGCCACCAGAGGACTCTGGTGTGGTGATATGACTCCGTCCACCCTACTGGCTGCACCGACCCTCCGCTTCCAGCCCTGTTAACAATCTACGTAAGTCCTGCTTTCCCCAAATAGATGCCACATGAAAGCCCTCTGCTCAGCCACCACTCCCCGAGCCTGGCTCTGCTTGGCCTGCTGCAGCCAACACAGCCGGCTGCCAGCCTGGCTGCCCAGCAGAGCCTGAATGAGAGAGGTCACTCAGCACTGGGCCGGGAATACACGGTGGCCCCAGCAGACACCTTCTCCTGTGTCTGGGCAGGGTGGGTGCAGCCAAGGAGCCAAGGCTGCAGAGCACCCCTACCTGTCCCTTTCACCCCCTGGCCCGGCCCAGCAGAGCGTACACAGACCCTTGCATCTTGTTCTCCGCAGCTGGGGGTGGGGTGGGGAGCCTGGGACCAGATTCTGGTAGGTCTCTCCCCAAGACAAGGGTGGATGTGCAGACCGCTCAGAAGGACCTGCACGACCGAGGATGGAAGGTGGGCGCAGAAGCCACCCTGGGCGTGACGCGTGATGCTCGGGGCACAGGCGCCACGAAGGGGGGAAAGTGAGGGCCCGGCTGTGCCGGGGATACCCGGGGGACCGAGGTCCTGGGCTCCGGCGGAGGGAGGGGATTGGGAGGGAGGCCACTGCCTCGGGCCACGCGGGTGACCCGGCGGGAGAGCTGGGGGAGGGGCGGCGGGGCTGGGGGCTGGGCTGGGGTCCCCGGACCGGGACTGGGGTCGGGCCAGCTTACCTCCTCGCCCTGGCCGAAGCGCAGTCCGAGCGCCGCGACGCGTTCCACGCGCAGGAAGCCGTCGGGGTCGCGGCCGCACACCTCGAACACCTCGCGCAGGCGGCGCACGGAGCGCAGCAGAGCCGCGGGGGCGCCCGCCCAGCCCGCGCCGCCCGCCATCCGGGCCGGCCCGCAGCTCAGCCCGGACCCCTCGCCCGCCGCACCCGCCGCCCTCCCGCCGCCGCCATCGCCGCGCGCCCTCCGGAGCCGCCCGCCTGGGTCTGCGCCGCGCAGCCTCCGCCCGGTGGCGGCCGCGGCCGATCAGTGTCAGCAGCGGCGCCGCAGCCCCCGCCGCTCCAGAGGGGAAGGGAGGGGAGGGAAGGGAAGGAGAGGGGAGGGAAGGGGAGGGGGAGAGGGGAGGATAAGGGGGAGGGGCAATGGGGGAGGGGAGGGGCAATAGGAGGAGGGGGGGCAACGGGGGAGGGGACGGGCGGGGGGGGCAACGGGGGAGGGGACGGGCGGGGGCCGCGGCGAGAGCGGGAGGGAGAGAGGGAGGCGGCAGCGGCGGCGGGGACGCTGCAGACAAAAGGAGCCCGCGTCCTCCCGAGTGGGGCCGTCCACGCGGGGCCGGCAGGCGCAGCGCGCTGCCTACGGTCGCCTCCTCCGCGGCCTCAGTTTCCCTCCGCGTCCCGGAGCCCGCCCCTTCCCCTGGACACCCGGAGCCACCCGAAGGCCCCGCCCTGCCGGAGGATTCCGCAGGGTCGTGCCCCTCTCCGCTGCCCGTGCCCGCTGCCGCGCCTCGCGTCTCCCGAGGGGTCAGGATGTCCTGGGTGTCTCCTGCGTTGGCGCGTTCCGGGACTGCATTCATGTCGGAGGAAGCTGAGGCCCAGAGAGGTCGGACTCACTCTAGGCCACACAGCTCGCGATAGGCAGGGCTGGGATTCGCTCCCAGCTCTGGAGGGCTCTGGACTCCGCTCTTCACCTCGGCGCCGCGGTCTCCCGGCGCTCTACTCCAAGACAGCAGTTGTGGGGCCATCGGGCGGGGGGAGGGCACAGAGAGGAGGAGCAGGGAACTGAACCCCAGCCTGGACCCGGGACCCTGCGACAGGGAGGTGAGGAGAAAACCAGGATGAGGCCCAAGGGAGGAAAAGCGAGGCCCTTCCAGAGGCCTGCCTGTGGCAGGACCCAGGGCTGCCCCACGCCTGGAGGAGGCTTCCTCCCTTTCCCCGAGTTCCCACCATCACACCTCCCTGGCAGCCCGCATGCCCCAAGCTCAGAGAGTCCAGGACAGAATCTCTGTCCTGGTGGCTGCAGGCTCCAGGTCAGGACCTTGGCCTCCTCCCATTAGTGCTCAGCGGAGCCTCCACCCCAGCTTGTACTGACTTCCCAGCCGCGCTTCGGGGACCTGCAGGACCGGGCCGGGCTCTCCTCTGCTCTCCTCCTCCTTGCTGGGCACATCAGGTCTTTGTGGCAACGATTGGCCCCAAGCCAAAAACAGGCCTTGGTTGAGGCTACTCCCACCTGTGCTGTCCTGCTCAGCACTGAGGCTTCCCCTTCCGGGAAGGCTTCTCTGATGGCACTCTCATCTTGTCTTCTATCCTGAGTTCTAGGCCCTTCTTCCAGATGCCCAGTTAGTTCTTCATTCTCTAGTGGGATGCCCATTTTCCCTACCATGCTGGGAAGCCCTCCAGGGCAAGACATGTCTTAATTACCTTCAAGTCCCTGATCTCCAGCCAAGAGTGGGCCCAGAGGAAGCCCCACCCAGAGGGGATGGGCCCGCCCATTGTGTGAGGAGCCAGGAGCAATGTAGTGGGAGTCCGGGGTGAACTGCATGACCTCCCCTAGCTGGGCCTCGGTTTGTAGCTCTGTGGTCTTCCTGCTCAACCCTGAATATATCCTGCACAGGGACTGCCATTTGCCTTCTGATAGTGGGCGGGGCCTTCTTCTTTCCAGCCCTGGCTCCTGGGATGAACCTGGCTTTTAGCTACTCTCCTTTGACCCTTCGGTTCCTCTGAGAGCCATGAAAGGCAGCACCTGTTGGGAAGAGAGACCTGTGGTTCTGAGGATTGAGGAGTCGGAAATGTGTGAAAGCGGGAAAGGGGAGGCCTTGGGATTGGAGTGGGGGTATTCGGCTGAGTGAGAGCGTCTCTGCTAGCTGGATGCCCCTCAGCCGGATACTAACATATTTTAGCTGGTTTCCTCGCCTGTACAGTGGGGATAATAGTGCCTTCCTTTTAGAGCGACTGAAGATGAGAGCGAATCTAAGCAATGCTGCTTCCCCCGGCCTACCCTGCAAAATGGAGGTGGAAATGGAGAATAAGGACGGGCGGTTGGTAGGGAGAGACTGGCTGCTGGAGACTCAGCCAGCTCCCCGGCAAGGAGGTAGGGAGTGGAAGCTGGGGGCTGCTGCCTGCCCCTGGGACCCCGATATTAGTTCGTCCAAGGTCAGCTTGTGTGGTTTTCTCTCACCCAAGGGGCTCAGCACAGAAAGGAGATGGCCAGGAGCTGGGGCTGCCCCCTGGTGGGGGCTGCAGAAGTGGCTCTCCGCGCTCTGCCTGGCATTGAATGCCCCCTTACTGGGGACAGGGGAGCTGGAAGACTCACCCACTTCAGCTGGCAGAGGCGGGGACCTCAGGCCTGAGCATGAACAAATCCCAAGTGAACCAAGACAGGATCCCGCCATGAGATTAGCCAGTTCTTGTCAAAGATAGGATCATCACAAATTCAAAAATCCCCCAGGAGAGCTTTCCCTGACCCGACTCTCCTTGCCCAGGTCTCTGCAGTTTTGTCTCTGGTGGGCAATGGTTTGAAGGACACCTGCCTCGCCCACCAGTGGCACTGGGCCTCTTGCTCACCGCTGTGCTGCTGGGGCCAGCAAAGCACATCACAGGCATTCTTTCTGGGGTTGTCACGTTTTTGTGGCGCACCTATGTTGTGTCGGGTATGCTAGGATGACAGTGAAAGGGGAGCAGCCACTTGCTGAACTTGATGGGGACAGTCATGGCCCAGTGTGATCTACATTGAGGTCCCAGGCTCTAGGAGCCCAAGAGGGCCTGCTGAGTGCCTACCCAAAGGTCCCTCAGAGATGGTGAGATTTATGGAGTCCTTGGGTCCTTGGACGTGGACCTGGGACCACTAAGGCTCCCATCACCTTGATCGAAGAGCTCAAAGTGCAACCCCGAGCAGAAGCAGCAAGAGAATATCCATGTCAGGACCGGCTGCAGGACTGGGAACCTCAGGGTGAAGGGGGTTGCTCCAGGAAAGCAAGAGGTCCCCATGGATAGAGTGGGAAGGCGGGGAGCCTCCTTACTGTTCTCCACTTCCTCCAGGTGACCTCTGATTCTCCAGGGGATTTCCAACAGCTGCAGCAGCCTTGTCAGGCTGGAAATATACTGGGAAATATACATGGAAGGGACAGTTGGGATTCTGGCCCCTTCTCTAGGAAGAAACAAGTTTGATCAGGTCCCTCCCCTGCTGAAAACTCAATGGCCACCATTGCCTGAGCTGGCATTGTGCAGTGTCTTCATACTCTCCTGCACTCCTTAACCCTAGTGTGGGAGCATCCAGGCTCCCTACTGCCTCCCTCTGTTTAGTGGGTGGGAGGCCTCAATCCTACTCCATCCCAATTCCACTTTCTCTAATTCCTGTCCTTGTGTTGTGGAAGTGGCACTTCCTACAGGAAGCCTTTCATGACCACCCCCATCTTGCCCCCTTGACCACCTCTCTCATGTGCTCCTGCGGAGAGGTGAAAGTACAGACTGTGCAGCCCACTTACAGGTGCGGATAAGGCTGTGGTGAGAGTCAGTAAGTTAATACATACATGTAAGTGTCAGAACAGTGCTGCTGGTTAGTGACAGCTATTGTCCTTGTGACTATCCTTACCATCTCTTACCCCTGTTGTCTATCACTGGAGTATCTGGGAAACTGTATGGAAGGTCGTAGGAGTGACCATGAGGTCCCTGGTAGCAGGGACTATGTCCATTTCTCTCCTGATTTCTGTAGCTCCTAAATAATGCCCATACACACATGGTTAGGGTCTGTGTAGGAATACATTAAGGGATGGACAAATATGGTGTGGTAGCCTGAAAAATGCCCCCTTAAATGATATCTATGTAACAATCCCTGTACATCAGTGGTCCCCAACCTTTTTTGGCACCAGGGACTGGTTTCAGACAAGTCAGGGGAAGAGGATCTCGGGGTGAAACTGTTCCAACTTAGATCATCAGGCTTCAGATTCTCATAAGGGACTTGCAACCTAGATCCCTCTCATGTGCCATTCACAATAGGGCTCCCACTTCTATGAGAATCTAATGCCACTGACCTGACGGAAGGTGGCGCTCAGGCGCTAATGCCCACTCACCCGGCGCTCACCTCCTGCTGTGGTTCCTGTCAGGCCATGGACTGGTAATGGTCTGTGGTCTGGGCATTGGGACCCCTGCTGTAAATGTTACCTCATTAGACAAAGGGTCTTTGCAGATGTAATTAAGGATCTGGAGGCTGGGCGCGGTGGCTCACGCCTGTAATCCTAGCACTTTGCGAGGCTGAGGCAGGCAGATTGCTTCAGCCCAGTAATTTGAGACCAGCCTAGGCAATATGATGAAATCCTGTCTTTACTAAAAAATACAAAAATTAGTCGGGCATGGTGGCATGTATCTGTAGTCTCAACTACTAAGGAGGCTGAGGTGGGAGGATGGCTTGAGCCAAGGAGGCAGAGGTTGCCGTGAGCCCAGATCATACCACTACACTCCAGCCTGTCTCCAAAAACAAAACAAAACAAAACAACAAAACAAAAGCAACAACAACAAAAACAACAACAACACAACAAACTAGGATCTGGAGATGGGGGGTTACTCTGGGTTAGCGAGGTAGACTCTTAATGCAATCACACATATTGATAAGATGGATCAGAGGCAGATTTGACACATAAAGAGAGGGTAATGTGACCACAGAGGCAGAGATTGGAGTGGTGCAGCCATGAGCCAAGGAGCATCAGCAGCCATCAGAAGCTGGAAGAGGCAAGGAGCAGAATCCCTCCCAGAGCCTCTGGAGGGCCCACAGCCCTGCTGACGCCTGGATTTGGGCCTTCTGGCCTCCAGAACTGTTACAGAATAAATTTCTGGTGTCTTAAGCCACCAAGTTTGTGGGAGCTAGCACAGCAGCCATGAGAAATGAATACGGATGGTACAAATACCATGTGGAAGTTATCAAAGATTATTAAGAACCAGGCTTTGGAATTCAAAACAGCTGAGCTGGGCACCAACATCTGTTGCTCGTTTAGCCCCATGACTCTGGACAGGTTAATTTCTCTAAGCCTCAGTTTTTCTACCTTGCAGAGGTCCTCCAGGGTT